GTGTTGTTTCCATCAAACAAGTCGCTGTCTAGGTGTGATAGGAAGATAGCCAGAGGCTCTTTCCTGGTCGGCGGAGTTTAGCTCCCGGTTCCCCAAAATACCCATGGAAGTGTACATTAGCTATACACAGAGAGATACAGACAGTGTGAGAGCTTACCATATTATAATCAGAGACTGAATGAGAGTGTAAGGTTGACGTATATTTAGCTTTCCAATTTAAGTGTTTTTTTTTGTGTGATGACTCAAATTCTGCATCAATGTTGACATTTAAATATCAAGTGAAATGGTTGAATTATGATACCCATAAGAGTGAATACATAATAATAAATATCTAATTGATTAACTAACTTTTTAAATTGTCTTTAATTGTGATCCTTAGATCTTGGATACTGAAAGGTAGAGAGGCGAACACTCTGATGTGTACTTGCTAAAGGTTATGACTTAAAGATTCTTGACTATATGATTTACATGCTTACGGTGGTTACTTGGTCACACCAGATAATATTACAACTTCCATTCTTTGTCTTATAAATAACTCCTGAATGAATGGTGGCAGTGTCTTTCCTCCCCCTCACATTTGCTCTCATTCTAAACTGCCTTTCTCCTCACCACTCTTCCTCAATCCTCCCAACCACTTCACTCATCCCTCGGAGGCTTTTTCCCATCCTTTCTCCAAGTTCCGCTACGTTACAGTGGTGGTGCACCAGGTGTAGCCAGTGGTGCTGCACCAGGTGTAGCCAGTGGTGCTGCACCAGGTGTAGCCAGTGGTGCTGCACCAGGTGTAGCCAGTGGTGGTGCGCCAGGTGTAGCCAGTGGTGGTGCGCCAGGTGTAGCCAGTGGTGGTGCACCAGGTGTAGCCAGTGGTGGTGCACCAGGTGTAGCCAGTGGTGGTGCACCAGGTGTAGCCAGTGGTGGTGCACCAGGTGTAGCCAGTGGTGGTGCACCAGGTGTAGCCAGTGGTGGTGCACCAGGTGTAGCCAGTGGTGGTGAACCACATACTCTTTTCCTACCCTGCTTAACACCTAGTTCATCCTAATATACCTAAGTGTATTCTGCTGCTGAAGTGGGCTGCATATTGTGTACATTTCTACAAAGCTGTATACCAAGACTAAACGGTCGTCAGAGGTACACCCCAGCACTGTACCTGGTACCGTAGCCGTCCAGACTAAACGGTCGTCAGGTAGTGTGAGGTACTGACACAGTTGTGTGTTTACATGTTGGTAAGCGAGCCTTCATCATTGTGGTCATCCAGCACAGTTTGTGAATGTTGGACATAAATATTGATTATTAATGTGATTCCCGCCCGCCCCATCCTTAAACTTCCTAGATATTTACAAGTGATTCGCGCCACACAACTATTGAGAAAATTGGTCCATCTTACTCTGGGATGTTCCTTACCTTCCACTGACGGCGCCAGAGGTTCCTTACCTTCCGTTGACGGCGCCAGGTACCTGTAACTTATGCAGGCGTCGTTGGACTACACCTTTCCCCTGCAGCACCTCAGCTTGGGACATAAGTTTGGTTCCTCATAGCCTCCGTCGTGTACAGTTGCACATACCTCCTGACCTTGATGACCTGATGTCATGCTTCTACAAGGTGCGCACTCACCATCTCGGCCTCCACTCCTGGTAGCCTCCACCACCTCTGACCCTCACAAACACTCTCACATTCGGGTTTATGGGTGATGATGGTGTTGGTGAGTCTCTTGGTGTGTTGCATGGTGCCCCCTGGTGTGTCCTCACTCCTTATGGGCTGCCTTCCCCCTCCCCTGGTATGTGTGTCCTCACTCCTTATGTGCTGCCTTCCCCCTCCCCTGGTGTGTGTCCTCACTCCTTATGTGCTGCCTTCCCCCTCCCCTGGTGTGTGTGTCCTCACTCCTTAAGTGCTGCCTTCCCCCTCCCCTGGTGTGTGTGTCCTCACTCCTTATGTGGTGCCTTCCCCCTCCCCTGGTGTGTGTGTCCTCACTCCTTATGTGCTGCCTTCCCCCTCCCCTGGTGTGTGTCCTCACTCCTTATGTGCTGCCTTCCCCCTCCCCTGGTGTGTGTGTCCTCACTCCTTATGTGCTGCCTTCCCCCTCCCCTGGTGTGTGTCCTCACTCCTGGTTGATGGGGTTCTGGGAGTTCTTCTACTCCCCAAGCCCGGCCCGAGGCCAGGCTTGACTTGTGAGAGTTTGGTCCACCAGGCTGTTGCTTGGAGCGGCCCGCAGGCCCACATACCCACCACAGCTCGGCTGATCCGGAACTTCTCTTAGAAAACAGTCCAGTTGTCCACAGTTGTTCCGGCAATATTTCTTATATGTGGTGCCTTCTCCCTCCCCTGGTGTGTTGTCGCATACATCATACCAGAAGTATACACATTCCCCCTGATAGGAGGGAGTATGCCCCTACCCGTGGTCGGGGGGGTATGCCCCTACCCGTGGTAGGGGGAGTATACCCCTACCCGTGGTAGGGGGGGTATACCCCTACCCGTGGTAGGAGGGTATGCCCCTACCCGTGGTAGGGGGGGTATGCCCCTACCCGTGGTAGGGGGGTATGCCCCTACCCGTGGTAGGGGGAGTATACCCCTACCCGTGGTAGGGGGGGTATGCCCCTACCCGTGGTAGGGGGTATGGCCTGTGACTACGAGGTGCTCCATAGCCACAGGACACACCCTTCACCCTGCTTCATCCGTCAGCCATGTGCCAGTGCCAGCTGGTGGTGGCACCACCCCCCAGGGTGGCAGGGGCCCGGGTGCCTGCCGGCGAGGCGCTGCACTTGCTGGATCGATAACCCCGGGAGGGTGGTGGCGGCGGCGACACTGTTAGCCGCCGCCACCACAGCGGCACTCGTCTCAGCTGATCCTCACTCTCCCACACCCCGCCTCTCCGGCCTCTAGGCCTACCCACTAGAGGCTGCCCACCACCAGGGCACGCTCGCTGGCCCGCCCCTGCCCACCTCCACACGCAGGCACACAACACCCCCGGCATATGGCAGCCACCCCACACTGCCTGAGGGGGGGGAGGGATGGCAGCCACCCCACACTGCCTGAGGGGGGGGGGGTGGCAGCCACCCCACACTGCCTGAGGGGGGGATGGCAGCCACCCCACACTGCCTGAGGGGGGGATGGCAGCCACCCCACACTGCCTGAGGGGGGAGGGATGGCAGCCACCCCACACTGCCTGAGGGGGGGATGGCAGCCACCCCACACTGCCTGAGGGGGGGGTGGCAGCCACCCCACACTGCCTGAGGGGGGGGGTGGCAGCCACCCCACACTGCCTGAGGGGGGGGAGGGATGGCAGCCACCCCACACTGAGGGGGGGATGGCAGCCACCCCACACTGCCTGAGGGGGGGGGGGATGGCAGCCACCCCACACTGCCTGAGGGGGGGGATGGCAGCCACCCCACACTGCCTGAGGGGGGGGGGGTGGCAGCCACCCCACACTGCCTGAGGGGGGGGGTGGCAGCCACCCCACACTGCCTGAGGGGGGGGGTGGCAGCCACCCCACACTGCCTGAGGGGGGGGGGGGGTGGCAGCCACCCCACACTGCCTGAGGGGGGGGTGGCAGCCACCCCACACTGCCTGAGGGGGGGGGATGGCAGCCACCCCACACTGCCTGAGGGGGGGGGGTGGCAGCCACCCCACACTGCCTGAGGGGGGGTGGCAGCCACCCCACACTGCCTGAGGGGGGGGGATGGCAGCCACCCCACACTGCCTGAGGGGGGGGGTGGCAGCCACCCCACACTGCCTGAGGGGGGGGGGGGTGGCAGCCACCCCACACTGCCTGAGGGGGGGGGGGGTGGCAGCCACCCCACACTGCCTGAGGGGGGGGTTGGCAGCCACCCCACACTGCCTGAGGGGGGCCGGCAGCCACCCAACACTGCCTGAGGGAGGGGTGGCAGCCACCCCACACTGCCTGAGGGGGGGGGATGGCAGCCACCCCACACTGCCTGAGGGGGGGGTGGCAGCCACCCCACACTGCCTGAGGGGGGGGGGTGGCAGCCACCCCACACTGCCTGAGGGGGGGGGGATGGCAGCCACCCCACACTGCCTGAGGGGGGGGGGGGTGGCAGCCACCCCACACTACCTGAGGGGGGGGGTGGCAGCCACCCCACACTGCCTGAGGGGGGGGTGGCAGCCACCCCACACTGCCTGAGGGGGGGGGGTGGCAGCCACCCCACACTGCCTGAGGGGGGGGGGGTGGCAGCCACCCCACACTGCCTGAGGGGGGGGGGTGGCAGCCACCCCACACTGCCTGAGGGGGGGGGGGTGGCAGCCACCCCACACTGCCTGAGGGGGGGGGGGTGGCAGCCACCCCACACTGCCTGAGGGGGGGGGGGGTTGGGGGTGGCAGCCACCCCACACTGCCTGAGGGGATGAGGGTGGCAGCCACCCCACACTGCTTGAGGGGGGGGGGGGGTTGGGGGTGGCAGCCACCCCACACTGCCTGAGGGGGTGAGGGTGGCAGCCACCCCACACTGCCTGAGGGGGTGAGGGTGGCAGCCACCCCACACTGCCTGAGGGGGGGGGGGGTTGGGGGTGGCAGCCACCCCATACTGCCTGAGGGGGGGGTGGCAGCCACCCCACACTGCCTGAGGGGGGGTGGCAGCCACCCCACACTGCCTGAGGGGATGAGGGTGGCAGCCACCCCACACTGCCTGAGGGGGGGGGGGTTGGGGGTGGCAGCCACCCCACACTGCCTGAGGGGGTGAGGGTGGCAGCCACCCCACACTGCCTGAGGGGGGGGGGGTTGGGGGTGTCAGCCACCCCACACTGCCAGAGGGGGGGGTGTCAGCCACCCCACACTGCCTGAGGGGGGGTGTCAGCCACCCCACACTGCCTGAGGGGGGGTGTCAGCCACCCCACACTGCCTGAGGGGGGGTGTCAGCCACCCCACACTGCCAGAGGGGGCGTGAGGGTGGCAGCCACCCCAGCAACCTCTCAGCTGGGGTCCCAGCCGTGTGTGGGAACGCTCCCACACACACCCACCCCACACTCCCACACACACACACACCTACACTTACCTCTGAGGGTTAACAGTCGAGTAATCCTGGAGGAAGGGAGGAGATTGAGAGTAAATCCGTGCGAGTAATCCAGAGTTAGAGTGGAGGCACCGCGACCTCTGCTCACGGCGTTCGCCTCCACTCCGCCATCTTGTCTGGCTCACAGCACAGGCACACTTCACACACCACAAATTCACGCACTTTTAACACCTTTCTCACTTGATTTCCGGCTTTTCCTTCTAACCACTGCACGATAGCAACACTATACACACTTTCACTTAATTTCAGCTTAAATAAACGCGAAGGAGAGGCAATATAAGCACAAAACCGGCAGCGCCCCACCAACACACTGCACCCTCACTCGTCCACGTACAGATTGACTGGAGGTTGGCGCGTCCACGCATGTCACGTGACTGTGGCAGAGCCGGGCGCACCGCCAGCCAATCACGGCCCGCATCCCCCTGCTGGGCGGGGCCTCCAGGCCCATCCCGGCTCCTGATAGGGAGAGGAGAGGAAGGAGGAGCCTAAGTTCCCCCGACCGCATGGTCATTGAGTGTCGACCCGGGGGCCTCAATCAATGGGGGAATCGATAGGCCATCAGCCGTTATCGAGGTGGTGAGGTCGATAGTGGTTATCACAGGGGGGCGACCATGCCCCTGATAAGGGCTGAGGGCAGAAAGAGGCATCAGACAGCAGCGCTGCCGGCTGCTAGCTGGCTGGCCAAGCCGCCCTGCTTATCCCAACCAGAATCCCATATAATCCCCATCATTTGACTGGGAGCGGCATCAACCATGCCCCTGGTGAGGAAGGTGCACAGTCTCCCAGTATTATCCTGACTCGTAACTAGTTTGGGTGATGTTAGAACCAGGCGCCATCTGTGGCCAGCCTTGAGGAGCGGTCAATACTGCACTTAGCTACGGTATGTGGCCGTAATGTCCTCCATACTCACCCGGCTCATGCCTCTCTCACCCCTTGCTCCTTAATGATCAATTACACTCTTATTACCCCAGACACATCTCGCCACCAGTGTCAAGGTTGTCTTACTGCTGGCTGGCCGCCTCCAGTGTAGCAGCACTCCCGCCCACCACACTCTCGTCCACCACACACAATACCGTCCACCACACTCTCGTCCACCACACACAATACCGTCCACCACACTCTCGTCCACCACACACAATACCGTCCACCACACTCTCCCGCCCACCACACTCTCGTCCACCACACACAATACCGTCCACCACACACTCCCGCCCACCACACTCTCCCGTCCACCACACACTCCCGTCCACCACACACTCCCGTCCACCACACACTCCCGTCCACCACACACTCCCGTCCACCACACACTCCCGTCCACCACACACTCCCGCCCACCACATACTCCCGTCCACCACACTCTCGTCCACCACACACTCCCGTCCACCACACACTCCCGCCCACCACATACTCCCGTCCAACACACTCCCGTCCACTACACATTCCCGCCCACCACACTCTCCCGTCCACCACACTCTCCCGTCCACCACACACACCCGCCCACCACACTCTCCCGCCCACCACACTCTCCCGCCCACCACACTCTACCGTCCACCACACTCTCCCGCCCACCACACTCTCCCGTCCACCACACTCTCCCGTCCACCACACACACCCGCCCACCACACTCTCCCGCCCACGACACTCTCCCGCCCACCACACTCTACCGCCCACCACACTCTCCCGCCAACCACACACTCCCGCCCACCACATTCTCCCGTCCACCACACACACTACCGCCCACCACACACTCCCGCCCACCACACACTCCCGTCCACCACACACTCCCGTCCACCACACACTCCCGTCCACCACACACTCCCGTCCACCACACACTCCCGTCCACCACACACTCCCGTCCACCACACACTCCCGTCCACCACACTCTTCCGCCCACCACACACTCCCACCCACCACACACAATACCGTCCACCACACACTCCCGTCCACCACACACTCCCGCCCACCACACTCTCCCGCCCACCACACTCTCGTCCACCACACAATACCGTCCACCACACACTCCCGCCCACCACACACTCCAGCCCACCACACACTCCCGCCCACTACACACTCCCGCCCACCACACACTCCCGCCCACCACACACTCCAGCCCACCACACACTCCAGCCCACTACACACTCCCGCCCATCACACACTCCCGTCCACCACACACTCTCCCGTCCACCACACACTCCCGCCCACCACACACTCCCGCCCACCACACTCTCCCGTCCACCACACACTCCAGCCCACCACACACTCCCGTCCACCACACACTCCCGTCCACCACACACTCCCGTCCACCACACACTCCCGCCCACCACACTCTCCCGCCCACCACACACTCCCACCCACCACACACTCCCGTCCACCACACACTCCCGTCCACCACACACTCCCGCCCACCACACACTCCCGTCCACCACACTCTTCCCCCCACCACACACTCCCGCCCACCACATTCTCCCGTCCACCACACACACTAGCGCCCACCACACACTCCCGCCCACCCACACACTCCCGTCCACCACACACTCCCGTCCACCACACACTCCCGTCCACCACACACTCTCCGTCCACCACACACTCCCGTCCACCACACACTCCCGCCCACCACACTCTCCCGCCCACCACACTCTCGTCCACCACACAACTACCGTCCACCACACACTCCCGTCCCCACCACACACTCCCGCCCACCACACACTCCCGCCCACCACACACTCCCGCCCACCACACACTCCCGCCCACCACACACTCCAGCCACCACACACTCCCGCCCACCACACACTCCCGCCCACCACACACTCCCGTCCACCACACACTCTCCCGTCCACCACACACTCCCGCCCACCACACACTCCCGCCCACCACACTCTCCCGTCCACCACACACTCCAGCCCACCACACACACTCCCGTCCACCACACACTCCCGTCCACCACACACTCCCGCCCACCACACACTCCCGCCCACCACACACTCCCGCCCACCACACACTCCCTCCCACCACACACTCCCGTCCACCACACACTCCCGTCCACCACACACTCCCGTCCACCACACACTCCCGTCCACCACACTCTTCCGCCCACCACACACTCCCGCCCACCACGTTCTCCCGTCCACCACACACACACCACACCGCACCACCACACACTCCCGCCCACCACACACTCCCGTCCACCACACACTCCCACACACTCCCGTCCACCACACACTCCCGTCCACCACACACTCCGTCCACCACACACTCCCGTCCACCACACACTCCCGTCCACCACACACTCCCGTCCACCACAAACACTCCCGTCCACCACACACTCCCGTCCACCACACACTCCCGCACACCACACACTCCCGTCCACCACACACACTCCCGTCCACCACACACTCCCGTCCACCACACACTCCCACCACACACACTCCCCTCGTCCCCCCACCACCACACCGTCCACCACACACTCCTGTCCACACACACTCCCGTCCGTCCCCCACACACTCCCCACCACACACCCCTACCACTCCCGTCCCACACACTCCCGTCCACCACACACTCCCGCCCACCACACACTCCCCACACACTCCCGTCCACCACACACACTCCCGCCCACCACACACTCCCGTCCACCACACACTCCCGCCCACCACACTCCCGCCCACCACACACCACCACACACTCCCCCGCCCACCACACACTCCCGCCCACCACCACACTCCCGCCCACCCACACACTCCCGCCTGTCCCACACTCCCGCCCACACACACACTCCCGTCCACCACACACTCCAGCCCACCACACACTCCCGCCCACCACACACTCCCCCGCCCACCACACACTCCAGCCCCACCACACACTCCCGCCCACTCCACACTCCCGCCCACCACACACACTCCCGCCCACCACACTCCAGCCCACCACACACTCCAGCCCACCACACCACACACTCCAGCCCACCACACACTCCCGTCCACCACACACTCCCGTCCACCACACACTCCCGTCCACCACACACTCCCGTCCACCACCACTCCCGCCCACCACACCCTCCCGCCCACCACACACTCCCACCCACCACACACTCCCGTCCACCACACACTCCCGCCCACCACACACTCCCGCCCACCACACACTCCCGCCCACCACACACTCCCGTCCACCACACACTCCCGCCCACCACACACCACCACACACTCCCGTCCACCACACACTCCCGTCCTCCCCACCTCCACACTCTCCGTCCACCACACACTCCCGTCCACCACACTCCCAGCCCACCACACACACTCCCCACCCCACCACACACTCCCGTCCACCACACACTCCCGTCCACCACACACTCCCGTCCACCACACACTCCCGTCCACCACACACTCCCGTCCACCTCACACTTCCGTCCACCACACACTCCCGTCCACCACACACTCCCGCCCACCACACACTCCCCCCCACCACACACACTCCCACCCACCACACACTCCCGTCCACCACACACTCCCGTCCACCACACTCTCCCGCCCACCACACACACGCCCACCACACACTCCCACCCACCACACACTCCTGTCCACCACACACTCCCGTCCACCACACAATCCCGTCCACCACACACTCCCGCCATCCACACACCCGCCCACCACACACTCCCGTCCACCACACAATCCCGTCCACCACACACTCCCGCCATCCACACTCTCCCGCCCACCACACACTCCCACCCACCAAACACTCCTGTCCACCACACTCTCCCGCCCACCACACTCTCCCGTCCACCACACACTCCCGCCCACCACACACTCCCGTCCACCACACACTCCCGCCATCCACACACCCGCCCACCACACACTCCCGTCCACCACACAATCCCGTCCACCACACACTCCCGCCATCCACACACCCGCCCACCACACACTCCCACCCACCAAACACTCCTGTCCACCACACTCTCCCGCCCACCACACACCCGCCCACCACACACTCCCGTCCACCACACACTCCCGTCAAACACACACTCCCGTCCACCACACACTCCCACCCACCACAATCTCCCGTCCACCACACACTCCCGTCCACCACACTCTCCCGCCCACCACACACTCCCACTCCCACCACACACCTCCCGTCCCGTCCACCACACTCTCCCGTCCCCCCACCACACACTCCCGTCCACCACACACTCCCGCCCACCACACACTCCCGTCCACCACACACTCCCGTCCACCACACACTCCCGTCCACCACACACTCCCACCCACCACACTCTCCCGTCCACCACACACTCTCCCGTCCACCACACACTCCCGTCAAACACACTCCCGTCCACACACACACCCCCC